AGAGTGAATTTTTGTTTTCGATGGGTACAATTTGTGTTTTTGTGATTTTGACAAGATTTCTTAGTTTGTAAATTTCCAGGTTTATTGATGTTATGTTTTAGGTTTTTCTAGGCTTGAAAATCAATCCTTAAATCAGGGGATCGGCCTTCTTTTGAAGTTTGTTGCAATGTGGCCATATTCATAGTATTGGCTTTCGAATTAATTGAATGAAGTCATTATTTTAATTTATATGATATAATTATTTTATTACAATGTTGATGCAGTATAGGAACATCATAAATTGCTCTTATCGGATAAATCTAGGATGTATTGCATGCCCTACCACATTGAGCAAATATTTTGATTATCTAGTAAATATTTTGCTTTCATATTCAATCCTACCCTTACCATACTCAATTTGAGGCTTTGTAACTCAACAACCACCAATATGCAACTTCAAAACACATGTTCTGGAAAGCTCATCTGGGTTCAAAATAAAACGATTAGGGTTTGATTCAATTTTAGGCTTTTTTGTTTTTTTCTGATGTTAGTTTTTTTAATTTATTTATTTATCCTGTTGTTGTCTTTCATGAATCATCCTTTTCTTTTTAAATGAAACTATGTTCAGTTCTTATTACTCTATAATGTAATTCATTAATGCATGGCAATATTTAATTGCATGTGTCCACATTAGATTTACTGCAAGCAAGTATTCTTCAATCAATTGTCGATTGTTCTGAAAAATTAACTTGATGAAATACAGATATATGTCCCATAAATTATTTTAATTCAAATTTAACGTCATAAGGCCTGACCAGGAGAACCAAAGGAGAGAAGGCTAGACTGTCCACATAAATTCATCAAATCTTTAGTTCAATCAGCTAAAAATTTGATGACAATGGTGAATTTTTTAGAATAGTAAACCAACTTGTGCAATTCAACACGGAGCTAAACCAACATTCGGCCCCCTTTCTTTTTATCTCTGGGCCTAGGAAAAAGAAAAACCCTTTGAAGTGAAGGTACCAAGCCTCTATCATAGTCCAAAATAATAACTAGTTGAGAAGGTAAGTACTGGTTGTATGGAAGTTGACTCACAGAGGAATGCTGTCTTAATTCATTTGTTCAATTTTTAGAAGATCATGACTTGTGTGAAATGACCATGATTCATTTGGCCTTCAGAGTTTAAGCAAATATCCTCAGTACTTCTTCCCTTTCTCCTGGCTAATTTTTTCAGTAGCCTGTGGCAAGGATATTTTACAGAGTTTTTAGTTAGTTGACAGATGGAAATACATGTGCCAATTGACATGTTTCCTTTTATTTTCTTTTAATCTATTTCAATTTTATGCTTGCTCGCATAGAACTCAAAAATCACAACAATACATCTTGTTGCATTAACAGCTGTGAAACTTTTAGATTTTACAAGTCTGGTTCTGTGTGCATGATCTTGCCCGTTTATTTAGCATCTGAAAGATTGAAATTCTAATTTTAATGTGAACTGTGCAAAATAGTACTCTAATCTTTCTCCCATGTTTGTCCCTAGATTGATGTGAATGGTGAGAATCCGTCTCCACTGTATACAAGTTCTTAAAGTTGGGAAAATGGGGAATTTTTGGTGATGATATTCAGTGGAACTTCGCCAAGTTCCTTGTTAACAAGGATGGCCAAGTTCCCGATCGTTACTACCACCTCTCATTCTTGAGGTTCTAGAAAAACTCTCTAAAGGAAACGTGTTTGGATCTCTAGTTTATCTCAGTTATGCTGGCTTCTGTTGGTTTGTAGTGGGAAATCTTAATCCTTTTGATGTAATTGCATCGTGACATAAAGAAACTGTCGGAGATCTTATGATTTGTTGAGGTATAAAGGATTCAAGACCATAGATGAATTGAAGCATATGATGTTTAATTGCTCTGTGCTATTTTACATCAAGACTAGTGAAACATTTCTTGCAGAATGTGTCAAGTATGAGACCTGAGTGTTGCAAGATCCAGAATCAAAATTAATTACTTGTATCTGCACATACGCTTTGCTTCTTGGCATGAGATCTGTTGCTTTGGATACTCAAAGTTAACAAGATACTGCTAATATGTTTGTATTATGAGCAGCTGAGTATTGGTATTTTGTTGGATACCCTTCAAAGTTCACTCTTTTAGCACTTCTTTGTTTTTGTAATTTCCAGAACAATGAATGAAGTCAAATAATAAAAAATACCAGTTTGGAAAAGAAATCTTCAAGATGTGAAATTAACTTCAGCTCAAAAAGTACCATGACAAATTTTTCATGCACCACTGTTGTGCATTTCATGCATGTTCCTGAGGAACAAATTTATTAACTGCTTCCCATTCAACCACAAGGGTGGAAAGTTCGAAATTAAACAACATTGTCTTGCAGCAAAGCAAGATTATTTCAGAACACAAGAAAGAGAGCAAATGAAAATCAAGCATCAGACCAGGTGATATCCATCCATCCCCATTCCTTGTTCTTCTCATTGACACCTAATGCTTTCCAAACAGCTTTTGAGGCATCTACAATATTATTTGGGCACGGTGGCTGGTAACCATGTTCATCATCACATCCCCTAGTAGAGTCACAATGATCGACCACCAACGCCTTCACGCTTCTTCCATTTCCATTAATGGTGATATGGTGGTGGCACCTCTTCTTGTTGCTGAACCATCCTGTTGACAGTGCCACCACAGGTTTGTCATCGTCATGAGACTTACCATCGCATTCTGATGGTCCACCCCCATCTCCACCCTCCTCACAACTGTTTATTGTTAAAATTCCCTTTGTATGCGCGGACACGGGTGGCGAACACTTGTAGGTGGTGTAAAATTTTCCTTGTTCACAGCATTCCGCACCATTATCCTGGTTACACTGATTTTTCGGGGGCTTCTTTCCTTTCACTTTGCCACTTGGCTTGCACTTTTGTGCTTCAACCAATGCACCAGCTGTGACAAGAAGCACAAAGAGGACTAGAAGATACGTAAAAGTTGGGTAAACTTGCTTCATTTTTTCAGAATGTCTTCTTGCAGTGATGCTGATTATTAGTGGTGTATAGAATGTGCACAGCTTAGAAATAAATAGAAAGAGGGGGTGCTGAAGGACAAAAATTCGGGCGGAAACTACCAAAGACTGCATCTTAATTGTGTTTACGAGATTTTACGATTCATGTGAACAATGTTACCCTCGCGGTGTAAAACAAAAAACAACTGGGTTGATGCGAGGCTTGCATCGTGGCACCACGTTATTATTCAACATGTTTTGTCATTCGGTTCTACTGTTTCAGATTCTTTTGTTGTTTATGATGATTCCTAGGAAGATTCACCGGGGTTCCAATCTCTTTTAGACACCGGCCCGTTCGAGCGGTTTCATGACAAGAGCACCTAAAGCTGTAACATTTTCACTTATATAAAGTTCATATTTAATATCTTCCTCTACAAGGAATATAAGTTAGGAATTAAAAAAAAAATGAGAGAGTTATATTTTAGTGCACAAGCCATTTAGTGTTGAATCTAGTAAAGTAAACTCAGAATCAAGATAGTTGCGTCCAGAACCAGGCTAGTTGATTTTTTCCGTTTGGAAAGGTTTTGTGCAACAACATTTTCATACAAGGGATAACAATTCGATTTCTGAATCCTTTATAAATACCTCTCATTTCTATGAATTTTAAAACGAGGAGTAAATAACAAGGAAAGTTAGGAAAACAGTCTTAACACATACATTATCATCATTCTTGAGAGTTTTATTAATTGGTTATATTCTTGTATATTGTGCTATGAACATTAATTGATTTGCTCTTTGTGGTGAGCATAATCATGTGTACATGAAAGCTAATCATTTGAATTACTTGGTCTTCGCTAAAAATATTACTGATATGAAAGTAGCACCATATCAACACTCAAAAATAGATTACGAAATCAACACTCGGGTTAGCTTTTGAGCCCATAAAAAAATAGTTGAAAAGGTTTTGGTCCTCGTTCATGTAAGTTTATGAACATTTAATGAATTGGAAAAGTTATGCTCAGAGACTCGATGCGGGCAAGTTAGAACCAAGTCTGATCTCTCTAAACTTACGTTCTTTATTTTACACTTGCGTACTTACATATTACAAATTCATTACAAGTGTTGTTGTTGTTATCATATCAAAGCCTATTCACTCCCCTCTAAAATTGGCTCTTGATCCTACAGGAACATCGATTCTCTCTTCAGAAAAAACTGGTTAAATTTATCTTTTGAATGGTCAATTACAATATCTAAATTTCTCAAAAGTGGAATTGTGGAAATACTTTAGCAATCACTCACCCTATCGAATTGTATAATTTACATATATTAGAAGAATATCATATATTCCCAGAGATGATGACAGCCATAACTAAATATATGGAATGATGCTACCATTTGTGACCATTCATCTAAGTATTAGTAAGTTGCATACCCTAAATGAGAATCTTCTCTGTATGAATAGTAACCTCCTAAATTAAAGGCCAGACACGTTCGGACAGCCAGAAATGTTTGTGATTATTTGTTTTCCAGCTGCGGACCGAATACCATAACTTTTCTGCAATGTTTTTGGCAAACCATAATCCTGAGCTAAAACAGATCCTTCACCTTGCCTATTATCCGGCATTAATTTCAAAACCCCAATTTACAACCCCAAATTAGTCAAGTTACATTAGGCTAATCTGATCATAAACCGTTGGCAGACGGACAGTGAATACTCGTATGCCCTATTTATAGTTCTCTACTCACTGAAACAGTTCATGTAAAGAATTATACTCTTGTTTTCTATGTGGAAAATTCTCCATCTAGATCTTTGAACCAAATTAAAGGGATAGAAACAAACGGCTACACCCAGGCCAAATTATTTTTACAGCAGAAAAACCTGACCCTCCATTGAGAAAACCCTATACATAGCACTACTTGATAATCTATTTTACACAATCGGTCCCTTTTGTCTCTTTCTTTGCATAAATTTTGTACCCAAAATCATCGTCTTTCTTTTTCATCTACGCCTGTCATACATGGCAGACATAAGTCCATTGCTTCCATTTTCCCATTCTCTGGGCCCTGGTTCCACCTGTAGTTCTATTAGATGGAGATCCAGGAAAGTACTTCTCTTGGTATTTTCTGGTTTGTTTCTTGTTCCTTTAATTGTATTTATAGCTAGTAATGACAACGGATTCAAACAACATGTCCAATATTTACAAGAAGATGATCAAAATGTATCTTTCTCTCTGACCAAAGAAACGACAAAACCGCAAATTTTGAGGCCAGGATCACGGGGGGTGTCAGCTGGTGTGTCAGAGAAGGCCAGCGTGAATTTGAAGGGTGCACAAGTGAAGGGTTATCCTCAGAACGATAGCATGTTGTCATGGCAAAGAACTTCTTTCCATTTTCAACCTGAAAAGAATTGGATGAATGATCCTAACGGTCCTTTGTATTACAAGGGCTGGTACCACTTTTTCTACCAGCACAATCCACATGCTGCAGTCTGGGGTGACATAGTTTGGGGCCATGCTGTATCAAGAGATCTAATCAACTGGTTCCACCTCCCATTGGCAATTGTTGCCGATGAATGGTTCGATATAAATGGTGTATGGACTGGCTCGGCGACTATTCTTCCTAATGGTAAAATTGCCATGCTATACACAGGATCCACTAACGAGTCAGTGCAGGTACAAAATCTTGCCTATCCAGCTGATCACAATGATCCTCTCCTCCTTAAGTGGGTCAAGTACTCTGGCAATCCAGTCTTAGTCTCACCACCAGGCATTGATCCCAATGACTTCCGTGACCCGACAACAGCTTGGTACACTTCTGAAGGCAAGTGGCGCATCACAATAGGGTCAAAAGCTAACTTTACTGGCATAGCTTTAGTCTATGATACTGAAGACTTCATAAATTTTAAGATGAGTGGGGTACTTCATGGTGTCCCTGGAACTGGAATGTGGGAGTGCGTGGATTTTTACCCTGTGTCGAAAACAGGTCAAAATGGATTGGATACATCGGCTAATGGTCCTCATGTGAAGCATGTGGTGAAGACAAGCCTAGATTATGTTGGGAAGGATTACTATGCTCTTGGGACATATGATGACAAGACTGGAAAATGGTATCCAGATAATCCAGAAATTGATGTTGGTATCGGAATTATGCTCGATTATGGTATGTTCTATGCCTCCAAGACCTTTTATGATCAGGATAAAGGAAGAAGAGTGTTGTGGGGTTGGGTTGCAGAGTCTGATACTGAAGCTGATGATGTAAGGAAAGGATGGGCATCTCTTCAGGGCATTCCAAGGACTGTTCTGTTGGATACAAAGACTTGTAGCAATCTGCTTCAATGGCCAGTAGAAGAGGTAGAGAGGTTAAGACTAAAAGGCAAGGAATTCAACAACATAGAGGTTAAGGCAGGGTCGGTTATGCCGCTTGAACTTGACGGTGCCACACAACTAGACATCGCTGCTGAGTTTGAGTTGGACAAGAAGGCCTTAGAGAGCACAGCTGAATCCAATGTGGACTTCAGCTGCAGCACCAGTGGTGGGGCTGCTCAACGTGGTGCATTAGGACCGTTTGGTCTTCTGGTTCTTGCAGATAACAGCCTAGCTGAGCACACTTCTGTATACTTTTATGTTGCTAAAGGAAATAATGGCACCCACAAAACTTTCTTCTGCACTGACCAGTCAAGGTCTTCTGTGGCAAATGACGTTAAGAAAGAAATTTATGGAAGTTATGTTCCAGTTTTAGAGGGTGAAAAATTATCTGTTAGGATATTGGTGGATCATTCGATAGTCGAAAGTTTTGCTCAAGGTGGTCGGACAGTTGTCACATCACGGGTTTATCCAATAAGGGCAATCTATGGTGCTGCTAGGCTTTTTCTATTCAACAACGCCATTGAGGCTACCGTCACTTCCTCACTCAAGATATGGCAAATGAATTCTGCATTTATACGCCCTTATTTTAACGAACAGTAGCTGCTACCTTTAGTCTACCTAATTTGCATCCATTTGTACCGTAGTTTTCTTTTCTTTGTGATGCTTTTTACCCAAATTTTGAATAAGATATCTTCTTTCTTTTCCTATCAAAGAGAAAGGTAAGATGTAATAGGATTATCTTTAATTGGTTCCTTTTTCTTTTTTAACCTCTATCCAAACAAAATCTTAGAATCACTACTGTTATCATTTCATGATAAGCTTATTAACACCAACACCATCCTTTCAACCAAAAGTATGAAAAGTTGGAAACACAACAACACTGTCTGGCAGCAAAGCAAGCTTATTGAAGCTTTCTTGCATGAATAATCTTACAGCAGAACACAACAAAGAAAGCAAATGCAAATCAAGCATCAGACCAGGTGATATCCATCCATCCCCATTCCTTGTCTTTCTCATTTACTCCTAATGCTTTCCAAACAGCTTTTGATGCATCTACAATATTATTTGGGCAGGGTGGCTGGTAACCATGTTCATCATCACATCCCATTGTAGAGTCACAATGATCGACCACCAACGCCTTCACACTTCTTCCGTTTCCTTTAATGGTGATATGGTGGTGGCACCTCTTCTTGTTGCTGAACCATCCTGTTGACAGTGCCACCACAGGTGTATCATCGTCATGATACTTACCATCGCATTCTGATGGTCCACACCCATCTCCACCCTCATCAAAACTGTTTATTGTTAAAATTCCCTTTGTATGCGCGGACACGGGTGGCGAACACTTGTAGGGGGGGGAAATTTTCCTTGTTCACAGCATTCTGCGCCATTATCCTTGTTACACTGATTTTTCGGGGGCTTCTTTCCTTTCACTTTGCCATTTGGCTTGCACTTTTGTGCTTCAACCAATGCACTAGCTGTGACAAGGAGCACGAAGAGGACTAGAAGATACGTAAAAGTTGGGTAACCTTGCTTCATTTTTTCAGAATGTCTTCTTGCAGTGATGCTGATTATTAGTGGTGTACAGAATGTGCACAACTAGAAAATAAATAGAAAAGGGGAGTGGGGGATTTGCTGAAGGACAAATATTCGGGCGGAAACTACCAAAGACTGCCTCTTAATTGTGATTAGGAGATTTTACGATGCATGTAAACAATGTTAATCTCGCGGTGGAAAACAAAAGACAACCGGGTTGACGTGAGATTTTCATCGTGGCATAACTTCATTATTCAACATGTTTTGTCATTTGGTTCTACTGTTTCAGATTCTTTTGTTGTTTATGATGATTCCTAGGAAGATTTGGAGTTCAAAACTTCAAATCTCGTTTAGACACGCTCTTTCTTAATTCAAGGACGACCAGATCTGAAACATTTACTTCGTTGTATTTAATATCTTCGTGATGATCTCCATTGATTGTCATTTACAGGCTTGCAGCAGATCCAAGATACTATACCATCAATACATCTTCCTCCCCGAGCAGTCATCTCAGAGTCCATGAATAATTCAGATCAGCAGTACAGTTGAAGGCTGGTGTTTTCTCCCTGATCGACAAAATCGCATAATAACAATAATATTTGTCACATGCTCGAGCAACACGGGCTTCTTAAATAAAGAATTGATCGGGGTAATGCTTACAAAGAAACACCTGCCAAGACTCGGTCAAACTATGAATGAGTAAGAAGGGAAACCAAAGTTCCAAAGAATAGCAGCCATCATGTGCTTGAAACATCGATTTACGCTTTCTTTCTGCTACAGATTAATGTTTTTACCAGGAAATTTTGACAAGTTTCCACTGTCACTTGAAAATTTTAAATGGTGGCTACTTGTACAAACTAAGACAGCACAAGCACATTGCCTTTTACTAGGGAGATCCGATTTCATAATTATCGCAGGATTGGATACATTTTGAACAGATATGTACAAAATTGTCATGTGTCTATTGCAGCAAACAGTCATCCTCTTGTCAAGTCAATATCAGTGTGGGGGTTTCTCATATCAGCTGGTCGCGGACCAGGCCAAACACTTATCAGAGAGGGAGTGAAACTTTGCGGAGTGCTGGTAGGGGTGACTGATTTCAGGTTAGCAGAATTATCATCGAGCTGAGATGCCGAGTCTTTTTTGTTTTTGGGACGGCCTACTTGTTTATCCTTCTTAGAACCATCATATAGGAAACTACAGACAACCACCTGCAGCAAGGGCTCATTTATTTTTTATTATGACCACATGGCTAGACTGATAAAAGCTAGACTATAAAGGTGAATATAAAATGGTGTATCAACACAATAACAAAAGGGATATATATTCAGTTAAACCATTCTGTTTTTACCAAACTCAGTATTGAAAAGATTAATCCAAAACACAATCACCATTGCAAATCCCAAACAATGCTTCACAATTCACATATTGTATTTCATAAAGCATGCATTTTCCATGTGCACTTTGATCGCCCATAATGGAAACCATCCATAGTGAATTCAATATTGCAAAATCCCAAACAATGCTGCACATTTCACATACATGCAAAAGATGAACCATGTTTTTTGCATGCCATTCTACCATATGTCAAGCATGATGTTCATGATTTTGGCTGGTTTCCAGTAAAATGGGAATCTGAATTGCAAATAAAATAGTTTTGAAGGTCACCAAAATTTTACAGCTTTTAGCACGGGCACACATAAAGTTAGAAGAAACGAAGTTTCAGTAATATTAAAGATTGTAAGCAGAATGGTAACATTATCATAGAATGAGCAATTAAAGCTACAACACAATTCAGAGCATCAAAATAGTACCTGAACTGGGCTAGCTGCAATAAGCATTGCGATCGCACCACCAATGACATGGCCATCAGGACTGGAAAAAGAAGCACTTATACCACCAGTTCGATTGCGAGGGCCACCATCTTCAGCAACCAAGTATGAGCCTGACAAGCATAATATCTCAAAACGCCCCTACACAAGTTAAATATTCTAAATGAGGTCCTTCTTGCTGCTAAAAACATGTTTGAATTAATTAAAGTACCTAAGCAGAAGGAAAAGGCAAAAATGATCCATCCAGGTTTCAACAATATCCATTAAACCACAGCACTCAACACCCACTTAAATCCACTACAAAAGTGTTTGCCAGTCTTGAAACTCACTAAACAATCCAATGTAGCCAAAAATATGGCTATACTTCAAATGACCACCTTCAAAAGGCATCATTTATTTTTACATTAAATCATCCAAAAACTCTGAGGCCACTTCAATCCACAATGACATGGCCATTGGATAAGCATATTTTTATAGATTGAAAGAAGTAGTAAAGTGTTTGCCACCCCTGGAACTTACTGAACAGGTTATGTGGCCAGAAATGTAATTACTCTACAAATCTACCACAAAATGAACAACATTGAAGCCAAGAAATACAATCCTATCTCAGGTAGCATTCCCAAATTTATTAAATGCTTGTCCTTGTTGGGGTTTTAGAACCCTACACCCAAAGTTCAAAGTAACAGTTAACCAACATTCATGCCAGGTAAGCACTCTTGCTTAGTTATCAGCTGATAAATGATTTTGCCTGAGGTTTCAGAAAAATGATGAATAAAATTGGTTTTGATATCTGCACTAATGTCACACATTAATTGATATTTCAATAATTTGAGACTTGTGACATGTTTCCTCATGATGACATTAGAATCCTTGTTCAAATACTGTTTGCTATCCATGTAATCACAGGCAAAGCATGAACATAATTACCAACTTTAGACACTTAACCCAGCCTAAAAGGTCACCTACGAGATAGAACATGTGCCCAATTATGTTCCATATTCAAATTCCAGACCTTCAAACAAATTCCCAACTGTTGCTTATCAGCCTAATAGGCTTCAGATTCAATTTGTTTTCATGCAATGCTTAATCAACTCCAGATTAAGCTGAGTCCCATCTATTTTTCTACCAGAACCTTACCATTCCCTGTTTATTCTTGCATTCTAAAGCTCAAACATTCCTTTAAATTCATTTATTGAATTCTTGGTTCTGACTTCACTAGTTTACTCACAAATCTACAAGTTGACAGCAATTACATTGTTTGCCCACGCGCTCTTATATTTTCAGCATTTTAACGATTAACAAAAGAACAAGTAAAAATATATCAGGAAGCTGGACATGCTAAAATTCAATAACAATTTTGGAATAATTATTGCAATGCATTAACGTATTAGAAGATGTGGAAAAAGATAATGTACTATCAAACAAGTCAGAAACTTGTTGGGTTCGTACAAAACTTCGGGGAAAATAAGTGTGGCATAGTAGCATTCACATCTAATTTCTGATCAACAGTTTCAACAAAATTGCAGCAAGGAAGCTGAGTCACTCAAATGAAACAGTTCAATCTAGAAAAATATCAAAAGATATTTGATTGCCTTAACCTCAAATGTGATAGATGGCCCAGAAGATGCTGGCTGACGAAGTGTCACAGAGGACACTGTACCAGTACCAGACAAGATGCAAACAGCCCTTGGCCTCTGTTGCGAAAATGACAATAGTTTTGAAACGATATCCTACAAAGAACAACATAACAGGATTTAAATCAACATGAAATTGGGAAACCATGCAACTCCATAATGCGTGTGCCTGCACATGTGCACCAAGTTTCTCCATTGATATATGCATATTTTGTTTTGAACAATCTGCTTAGCTATTTCATATAGCTAAACAACTTGCATTCCAAAGAAAACACAGACTTGGAAAAGCATTAAGAAAGCTTCAATGTAAGGGCAACTACCAAATATTGTTATTTCTGCCCCACTAGCAAGCTAATATGCTAGCAGTAGTTAAAATCTGGTCCCTTTAAAAGTACAGGAAAACCTCATCATTCAATTCTAATTAAGTTAAGACTATTCTTTCAGATTCTAAAAGGAATAAATGTGGCCAGTTGTGTTTCATGGAGGAAAACCCTTCAAGTTTACTTACATACTGGACACAACACAAACTGGAAATGAAGGAAACTTCAAAGTCAGGGGTGACTATCCTAATATCACTATTTCTCCCCTCCAAAATGTA